CCACACTGCCCGGCTCCCTCCGCCAGCGCCCAGTGAGGACGGCAGGGGCCAGGGAGCGCCTCAGCGCCTCCGCCCAGCAGTCCCCTGCCTGCCCAGCCTCACCTGTCTCCGTCCTGTCCCCGAGCAGGGGGTGTCCTCCTGCCAAGCTAACCTGAGCCCTGGGCTTTGGGTCCAGGTCCCTCAGCCTCCGCCAGGGTCTGCTCCCTCCTCCTGCACCTGCCACCGCGCTCTCGTCGTCCGCTCCACAGACGCTCGGCAAGCGTCTCGAGGGGCCGGGGCTGTGCAGGGCCACACACGCCGCTGGGGAGCTGCTCCGGGTGGGTGGCGGGTGCTCTCCGCACTGCAGTGACTACCGCATTTAAGTCTCATGCCCACCTGTGAGCTGGGCTCTTATCCCGGTTCTCCGGATGAGGAAAGGAGGCAGGAAGATGCAGGGACCCGGTCAAGGTCAGCCACAGCCATGCCCGGAGGAGCAGAGCTCAGACCCAGGGCAGGTTGGGCCCTCAGGAGCTAGCTGTGACTTGAATATGACCTAACACCCCTGCCACCTCCCAGAACCCCTCCAGCTGTCTTCCACGCTAGACCGCTGCTGCTCGCTCGTCGCTTTCCCACCTGGTCCCTGAAACGTGTCTCCCCTTCTCACCTGCCCCAATCCCCAAAGAAATGACCCAACGAGAAGTCCTGCTGTCAAAGGGAACGACGGCTTCTCCCTTGTCGTGTGTCTGAGCGCGTGTAAGGATATCGGCTATCAGTGAGCACGGACACAAGCAGCGAGAGGTCAGTTAAGGGCAGGACCCCACTCCCTCCGCCCCGCCCAGGAGCCACCCGCACAGGGACCCGGGGCGGGGGCCAGAGCCCAGGGTCTGGGCTGCAGAAGGTCCTAGCCTTTCGTTGATGTGTGACCTATGCAGCGTGACAGCCTTTCTGAAAGTTTTCTACTTGGTAAAAGGGGGTCACACTGCTGGCTACGCACGTGTGTTGGGAGTAAAGGTGATAATGGCCACACACCCGGCGTTGAACACAGGCTCAATAAGCAGCAAAAATAACAGTGGACACGGAGGTGTCAGTTGACGTGGGCCAGGCAGGGCGCTAAGCACGTTGCAGGCATCGACTCATCCCATCCTCCCAGCTCCTGTTGGAGGTAGGAACTATTACTATCTCCACTCACTAGAAAAGTAAACTGAGGCACAGAGAGCTCGTGTCCAAGTCCATGCGGACGGAAGTGGAGCAGCTGGGATTCAAACCCAGGCAGTCAGGTTCCTAAGTCCATACGCTCAGCCGCCATCACTGATGGGCCCCTGGCCGCCCTAGTGAGGGAGACTCAGGAGAGGGCCAGCGGGCACCCCAAACCCCATCAGGTCAGGGGACCGCGAGGACTGGGTGGAGCCAACTCGGCCTTGGGCTCTGGTTGCCACAGAAGTGGGGGTCCCTGGTCCACGGAAGGGGTTAGCAGCCGTCCTCCCCCACCCCCACCGGCCAGAGGGCCCAGCCGCGCTTTGCTACCTGTATTTGCACACTTGGCACTCTTTAAGGTCATTTTTTCTGGGAAGCTAAGTACCAACGATATTTCAGCATCTGGTATTTTAGTGCCTGTTTCTGTTGACACTGACAGCCTAGTAGTGGGTGGCTGTCCAGGACCTGCGGTGTGTGGGGCATGGCACGGTCGAGGGAGACCCCAGCAGAAGGCCGGGGCCGGCCCCTGAGCTGTGCACAAACCAGGAGGGACCATGCCACCACGTGCCTTGGGCACGTCACCGCACCCCTCCAAATCCGCTCTTCAGCTGCAGCATGGACACGATAGTGTCTACATCCTTGTGCTATCACATGCAAGAGACCAGTTCCACTGAACGTTCCCAACAAACGGCACACGCACACACACACACGTGCGCGCCAGAACGTCCCGGCACACAAACAGGACAGGCACACACGCACAGCAGAGCGACCTGGCACACGTGAGTAAATCATCGTATGAAAGAGCAAAGAACACAGCCGCCAGTAGTGGTGAATGGCAGTGTCTCCTGGGAAGTGGTCTCAAGCCAGGTGTTGGAGGGTGGTCGCAGGAAGGGTGGGGCAGGAGGGAGTGGCACGCGCAGAGGCAGCTAAATCCAAAGTGACCAACTGGGTGAGGATCAAGGTGATCGCATGGGGGTGGCGGCTGTAAACTCTCACGCATGCACAGCCCTCGGGGCGGTGCCGAGAACAGCGATGAGGTGGTCAAGGCCCGCAGCGGAGGCCCCTGGCATGGACGGCAGACGCCGAGGGTGGCACTAGCTCCAGGCGAGATCGCTCCTGGGAAGAACAGCTGCGATTCTAGCGCCCCAGGACGAGAGCAGGGGCCTGGAGTCCTGCCTAGCATGAATGCTGGTATGACCTTTAATGGAGTGACCTTGGCCAGTGACCTGGCCCCGTGCCTCAGTGTCCCCTTCCTCGAAACAGGGTGCAGGGGATAGCCGCTTCCTAGGCGCAGTGAGGACTCTATGCACATCGGCGCTGGGCCCGCAGCGGCCGCTCCATCCGTGAACCTGCGCTGGGAAGGGCGCCGGGTGCGCAGGAAGCCGCTGTGCCGCACGGGCCGCCCCGCAGGCCGGGAAGCCCGCGCCGCCCTGACCATGCGACCCGCGGCGCTCCCGGCACTGGGCCGCGTCCAGGGCCCGGCCTCCCCGGGGGGAGGTGTGGGGCCCTTCCCGGATGGCCGCCGCACCAGGGACGTCCAGTTACTGGGGAAGGGGCTCCTGGAACATCCTCGCGGACCATCCGCGTCTCCCTGGCAACTAGCCAGGACCCCGCCCCTCTCCCGTTGCGTAAACAGGAAGTGGGTGTGCGCGCGGCGTACGCTTCCGGATCAGCAAGGGGCGGGAGCAATTGTGAACGGCGGCGGAGAGGACCAATCGCGGGGGACAGCGGGAGACGAGCCAATCGTGAGGGCCGGCGGGGGCGGATCCCGAGGCGGAGCTGTCGAGGAAGAGCCAATCGCGGCGGCTCGCAGGGCAGGGCGGGGCCAGGGGCGGGGCCGCGCCGAGGGGCGGGGGG